GTTTTTACGGAGCTTAAGATTGTGAATACGATGTTCATGAATGAGCTTTGTTTTACACTACTGGTCGTTCGCTGTATTGTGTTAAATCACATCTCCAGTATACGAAACTCTTGTAGACTTGTCACTCTGACCTCAGACTAGTAATACTATATGCATGTACAAATTAGAAACAAGGTCTGCTGAAAAAAAATCCATACCAGATAGGGGGGAAAATAGACTTCATTTCAATCTTTCTGTCCCCAGGATATCAAATGGTCCGCCCCTAAGCGTGCCACTTGAATGTGAATTGAAAATTTGAAAAGGGACAAATTAATAATAAAAAAAGAAGTTCTTAAGTTGTTTCTTGAATGTTTTATTTTCGTGGGAAGTGATAACAATTTCGTTAACAATATGTAACAAAAAATACTGTATAACCCTAATATCTCTAGTGCGAACAATGACTTGAAAAAAAACAAACAGTTGATCACGCATGCGCAGCTTCCTAATTTATTATAATTTCGAGACATTGCTCGTTCCAGGTATTAATATTATAAAGAAGGATGTGTTCTCAGAAGAGTGTACACTGCGTAAGTAGTGGTTGCCAACAGGCAAGTTACACGGTGAAGGTGTTTGAGGCAATTTTATTTACATTAAAAACACAGGAATTGTGAAGATAACCCATGCTGACAAGGAACCTTTTCGACAACATATAAGCAATAAAAAGTCCCCCAATGTCTGGGGGACTATGGAAGACAATATTCTCTCTGCACCAAAACACCGCTACGTGCATTGTACGAAATGGAGTGTCTTTTTTCCTCCAGCCTTTCACATTTCATTTTTTAAAATAAGTCCTAGGTTCTGGCAATACATTAAAACTAAAATGTGTTTGACAAATGTCCCAATGTGTTCATCGGTATGCTGGCTGTGAAAATGTTCGTGGAATGCGAAAAACAAAATAGAATAGAATTAACATTATCAAAACATGGCGCCCTCAGAGTCGGCAGGCTGTGTTCAACTTAATCACTATCCTCGGGGGGGGGGGGGGGCGGACATCCGGGCATTTTCACCGCCTGGCAACCCGCGGCGGTGAAAACAAAGGCCCAAAACTCGCAAGAAAACAGTACTTTGGGATGATTGTTGAAGACTCCTCTGAACAGGTGTAACAAAGATTAGCCCTACTTGTGTATGATATATAAATTTGGTTGTTCGGGATTACTTCAAAGTTGAGTTTGTGTTGTTTTCTCGAATTTTCACCAGCTCGACGGGCGTTCCACAGCAGCGCGCACAGAGCCCATAGAAATGCATGTACAGTGGTGCGCGTCTTAGCAACGTGGAACGTCTTGTGACGTAGCTCCGCCCCCGAGGATAGGACGGAGTGTAGTTTAGACCGTCGCTATGAGCGAACAAAGTGAAACGGTCTTACAAATACAGAAAATGGTTGTTATCGGGGAATATTTGAGGATGACAAATCTGTATAGTTTTGGCAATTCGATTCTAGAAGCTGTTACAGTAGTTTCTCTTGTTTGATAACGGTGACTGTGAAATGTACGACACAGGTCGCCTCTGTGAGCAATTACTAAACATAATAACGCTAAGACGGCAGCTTTTTAAAGACCAAATGAAAATATCAATCACTGCAGCGCTACACCGCCAACATCTTGGCATCTGTATTGCCATTAGCGTTTGGAAGATTTTTGAGATTGTCTGTTTCCGGCAAGATACCGCCAGGGTATTTATCTTCCAGAAGATTTAAATTTTTTTGTAAGTCGTCGCTTTCACTTGGTTCTTCAAAACTGCTCTCAATATCACTTTGGCTACTTTCACTCCCCGTTTCGGCCAGTTCAAAATCTTCTAGCTCTTGAAGTTCAATGATGTCCCCATTTTCGTTCTGCATGTTCTGTGCTAACAACTGGTTGATGATGACTTCGCGTCCACCATCATCATCCGTACCGGCGACAGTTTCCTCGTCGTCAACTAACTGGTTAAGAGTGTCCTGAACCTCTTCGCCCTGTCCCTGTTCATTAGCCATATTTTGCAGCTTTTCTCTCCATGTAAAATTCTGCTTGAAGTACTCCCCTAAAGTGCGGTCGTAAGGCTCGAAGAACTCGTACAAACGCTGCTTAATATCGTCATCAACGCGCGGGCGAGGGATAAAATCAGCTGCAACTCGCGGACATACATTCTGAGGGAACGATAGACAGTACGCTTGTATATTGTCATCGAACGAGAAATGCGATTCTTGGTAGAAGTTCGGTAGGCCCAGGAACTCTTCGAGTCTGCGGAATTCAGTGAACGTGTTGAACTTTAAGTGCTTACCGTCGACAACGTAGATCTGAGCTGGAGGGAAATAACGCATCCAACTAAGCAGGTGCTTGAAGTAAATGCTGTTGTCAATAAGAAGATTCAAGTGCGCCACGTTGTCTTGATGTTTAGAGTCGAAAACTGATTTCTCGAATGTTTTTTTGATATGCGACTGGACATCTTCAAGGCGCTCCTCCCGCTTAGCGCTCAAGCGAGCGTACTCGGCAACTGCGCGCCTGACGGGGTCGCATACAACTGCAATGAGTTTTGTCGCCGGAGAGATGCCATATTTCACCCTTTTTGGAGCGTCTTCGGGAAAAATAAAGTAGTTGGGTAGTTTGTCCAGCGTCACTTGAGCCTCCGTCGTGTACGGCATCTGTTCTTTGTACCAATCGAAGCCCTTTTCGTAGATATCAGAATAGTCGATAGGAATGTCGGTTCTCACTTCAACAGCTGGATGAAAGCGAAGGTAACGTTGAATACGATCGCTACCGCACTGACGCATGCCGATGATGAGCGCCTGTGGTAGTTCTTGTTTACACCCTCTTCGACCCAGCTCTTTGGGATTGCGAAGAGTTCGCTGTGTCAGATCGTCCCTCGATTTCGCCTGGTAACACGAATTCCCAAATTTCGCCTTGAGATAGTCCTCCAGTTCTACTTTGGCATTGTCGTTAATCGGCATAAAGTTCCTGTCTGGAATGCCGGGGTAATCGCTTCTACCCAAAACGTCGTTAGTTGGCGCAGATGTAAAGAGAAATGTCAAACCGACCCAAGCGATGGCCCCAATTACTATAAAAGTAACACATCGGAGGTAACGGCGAGAGACCACCGTACGAACACTTGCCATGGTGACGGCGGACTGAGCAGGAAAGATAGATGCCACGATCCCACACCCTTATACCAACGCACCTAGCCGAGCCACGTCACTACATCGAACAATGCGCGGACTACATTCTATGCATTTTGGTAGCAGCTGGATGAAAGATTTATGAAAAAAATATGAAAAATACTTTTTTTAGTTACAATGTAAATGCATAAATTTGGGCGATGGGAAAGTTTGCATCGACAGCTTGCTTTGCTTGTACAATAGAACTTGATATAACACATTAACAGCAGGCTTACGATGACGCGCAATATATATTCATGGAAAGACTGTTTGGCAAAATCGTTGGTGACAGCCGGCAACTGTCAAATCCGTAGTTGCCAATGAATGGGATTCTGTTCTTCTTGTTTGCAGGAATTAAATGTACACCCAGTCATATTCACTACGAATAACGTATCTGACAGGCGCGTTAACTCCAAAATATTAAAAACTTAAATTCCACAACAACGAAAATTACTCGTAATTTTTAGATTACTGGAAGAACAGAAAAGCTGATCGATCATTATGATGACAGATGATCAACAGATGACAAACTGGTTATTATAATCACAACATTGTAATTATTCAATACAACAAGCTGGTGTTGTAATTCGTTATTTTAATCCGTGCAATGGTTTGGAAAAACGATTAAATAATATGTGAATGTGTCGCGATTTAATGTGTGTCCGCAAAGTGTGGTGAATCGCGGCGTGATCATTAATATCAATATTTTGTACTAAAATAATTACGATATTCGATGCTATAGTGTACATAATTGTTTTGCTGTGAACACACGAAGTTTATAATATTTAGTTACTAAAAACCAGATACGGTGTTTATTTTGTTAAATCTCGTATACACAGTTGTTGCAAATATAGTCACTGGGTCTGATTTGACTGCATGGATATTCAACTCACAATTTTAAAGAAAACATTCTCATGATAGATTTTAAGTTTACCACATTTAGATAACAATGTAAAGTAAACCCAATGAGAAAGAAAACGTTTAGAGCATTTTTCCCGAGCGTTAGACGAAGGTTTTACTCATCTATTACAAATATAATACAACGGCAGTATCACACTGGGCAATGCCATTTCGCACTCGGCTTATTTTCACGTCAACAACCGATATTTCCGAAATTTTAAATAACGACTTTTAGATAAGCACAAATCGTACACTCGTCATAAGATCTCGCATTCACATTACACATTCGTCGACAGAACAAACATGTATCTGTTACTCTAGCCAATTTAGTATCTCGGACAAATCGTTTTTTATTTTGTAAACAGTCTTAATGTACGTAGACACATGCCCTGAAAAACTATGTAGACTGGTTCCGAATGTTTGTTTGATGTCTTGTCCGTTTCTTCGCCACAGCGAGAAGATTCCAGATTTCAGAAAATTTACAATATGCGTGATGATAGACGTATTGATACTGCTCATTTCTAGACGGAAATAATATATTTAATTTGATGTGATGTGATGAAAGGTAATGGACAGTGATTTGAATCTGGAACGGGGTTCTTCTGAGATCTAAATCAGAGCAGTGGAATAAGGCTGAACGTGAAGCTCACTTCACGCTGGTTTTCTCATGACCAAATACAGTTGGAATATAACAAATGCATAAAACATTATACATTTTCTATAGATACTGACCTCAAGTGCGTTTTATCTATCTATCTATCTATCTATCTATCTATCTATCGATCTATAATTATCACAAGTTCAAATTTCATTGATTTAGCATTTCAGGCATATTCAGTGGGTTTTAAATTCATGGTTTTACCATTTAGACAGTGTGCTCAATTTTACCTAATAACTGGCTTTTAATTTAGCGCATTTTCCAATCAGCGAAATACTAGTAAGCAGAATTAAAACCCAGTGAATAATTAATCCTTTTACAGCAGTAGCCTTCACACAAAAGCATAACAAACACATTTTCTGTCCGATTAGTCTGTAATAGCCAAATTTGGTTTAGTTTCCTGTCTGACAAAAAAAATCAGAGTCGTCAATGATCGCGGACATTGAGATCCTAATAATAGGAGTGACTGATTTGAAGTTGTTCAGACATAATTCAACTTGTTTAGTCTTTCGCTCAGAATGAAGTACTGTAGAATACTTTATTTTTGCTTGGAATTTATTTTCGCTATTTTCGCTGAAGGGATGATTCCGTGAAAATAAAATCCAGCAAAAATATTTTTTTCCTATATTTCACATTAAACTCATCAAAAATCAGTGAAAATAAATTCCAAGCAAAACGCCCAAAAAGCCTTTTCAGCGAAAATAAAGTATTCCACAGTATTTACGGCTGAGGCTGGCATTTTTTTGAACATTTTCTCCAGTGATCTATGTTAAAGCAATAAATGGTATTCATCAGTATTTCGTAACAATTATTGACCGTAACAATTATTATCCGTAAGCACTCATTCATAAAAAAAATAAAACCATATTGTAAATGCCGAGAAAATCTGATTATAACGGTAGCCGTATTGTTAAAACATACACACACTGTCTGTCAATAATTTTATGAGTTTATTTGACATTTTTTAATATCATGATAATTCAGAGAGGAACACGTGTCATTGATTACAGACAAAATAATGTTCACCTGTAACCCCCAATTTGTCTGGTCACGTGATCACTCTACATTTGAATATAAACGGCCCAATCAGCCCCAATCCTTCATGAGCACGTTTTATTACTGGTGCTTTGAAATGGCATTCTCGTCACCGTAGTTTTATTTCCGGTTTAGTGCCAACGAAATGATATGACATGCATCGGTAACCCGCGGTTGATGTCATCAGCCACTATAAATGAAATCGGTTCAGGCATGCCCTTCTATCACGGGACTGTAATGATATGTTCAAATATGGATTTTTTTTTTTAATAAAATGGCCATCAGTTGGTCAAAGGTCTACTATTATGTATCGTCTTTGTACCGAAAAGATTAAAAAAAATAATGCAAATAAAACAGCATGGCTGTCAGTCGGATTTGTTTGCATAAAATCACAAAACAGACTGACGTGCCCCCAGTAACCTATCATATATACGGTTGATGACATGTTGAAAGTTTGTGTTTTGTCAGTCAGTCGATTACATTTGTTCGAAATCCTAATATAACTGAAGTGAACACGCAACCTATCATGACGTTATTTTGTACAAAATGTGTGAAAGCGTAACTAAGAAACAGGTAGAACATATTGGCCACCAGGCGGCCACTTTGAATAAGATCACTAAAAAGATGTACATGTACATCCGTAACCTGCCATGAGTAATGTCAATTTTAATTTTGAACGTAAAAGATCAAGCCATGCCCAAGGAACAGTTGATGACAAATATTAATTGTTGATGTTCTTTAGGGACGAAAATGACCACCAGTCGGTTAATAGTTTACGAAACAAATCGCAGTGCGCATGTCTACCATTATGTCTTGCCTTTGTACCAACTTTGAACAAAAACTAATTTTGCACGGAACCCAAAACATAAATCCGCTTTCTGACTTCGTACAATGATGACTAAAAAGACGAAAAATGTCGATTTGTTGGCCATCTTGAATCAGATCAATTCAACTATGTGAAACATTACACTGCCGCTGCACCAAGTTTGAAAACAAATATGTATTATCAAATTATAATTAAAACTACTATTTGTAATGTATATAATGGCCGCCAGTCGGGCAATTTCGAACAATTCCCGAAAAATGATGCTTATTTAACCAACAGTTGTGAAAAAGAAATGAAAAGCACAACTTGGATCAACACATATAAAATGAAGATTTTTAGGAAACATGACCGCCTGTCAGCCAGTCAAAAAATCAGCAGCATATGTATATCATTATGTATCAACGAATCATGAATAATTATACAAAACCGAATCCATAAGGCCCCCAGATGTGTTCAGTCGAGCCTAAAAATATTTGGATTTGAAAAAAAAAATTTGGTTGAGGTAGAAATGCTCAAAACAAATTGAGTTTTTATTTTCACACCAATTTTGCAGAAACCAGAAAAAAATATCAGGGGGAAGCAGTGCCTCAAAACATGTAATTGTTATGTGTCTTATTCAAAATACAAGATTATGCTTTTTAGGTAATTTAGGTATGCACAAATTTGCACCAAAAAACAACTTGAATTAAGTCTGCATAATATCTCAAAGCCAAAAATTCATTAAAATCAAACATGAGAAGCAGATTAAACTTTAGATTTACTTGAGGCGGGGGGGGGGGGGCTTCTTAACAGAGCTCAACAAGAAAACCATCATCTGATGAGAGATCCCCTGTCATCTTTATAACAATTGGTCTGAGCAGTTTTTAATAAGGTAAAATGACCATATATGGTTGTGTGCCCCTTATAAGACCGAGAGAACAGATGCTGGTAATCAGAACAAGGTAGTGCTAAAAAAATACGTTGCTATGGGACACAATTAGCACTAAAAACTAATCTGATCCAATAAGTTGTTCTTGAGCAATGAAACAGTGAATTCAAAACAGTCCTGACATTACACAACCCTTGAGAAAAATAACATAGTTGAACTCCGGTGACCTTGCCCTTTGTTATATAATATAATTCCCTTTATCATAGTTTGTTTCAATATAAATATGCATTGTCATAATTAATTTTGAATACAAACAAGTTTTGGGGTTGAACCAACAGTGGGGAATCAGTCTACCGAATGTCTTTAAAAGATGTAAATATCTTACAAAAACATTGGTGCCTTATTTGTTTAATTATTTTAAGGCACATAATTTCCAGCTTTCTTCAAAGTAATTCAGATATTTTAGTAT